AGAGCAATTGGACAGGTTAGGACAGGAGAGGGCCAGGCACAACTGAATGGAGTATGGGTGAACAAAATAGGGGACAGGGTAAGCAATGATGTCCAACAGGCCAAAATTAACCAACAAGTCATCAAATAAACTATACAGACAACCAACTGCTTCCATGTACAGCTGAACAAAGAAATTGACTGAAAGGACGTTTTCATTACAAGGACAGTTTTAAACATCAAGAAAAAACTATAATGTGCAAAGAGACCACAAGGAAATAAAATAAACAAGCCTAATGGGCAACAGGAAGCTATACTATACTTACATTTATGTTTAGCTCTACATTTTTCCACTGGCAAAACCTGGTAAATTTATCACTGCAAAAAAACGGAAACAAGTTACATGGACTTGAAGTTAAAGTTTCTAGCCATTCTTTAGATCATTTTAAACAATGAACATTCTCAATGTTCATCTCTATCTAGGTTCAATACGCTCTGCAATCAACTGCAAATTAACAAGAGGTGAAAAAATACATGAAAATTACTGCCAATTTCCTGATATCCTTTAACATGCAACACACTCACTTTATTCATGAAATGATGCTACTGGTACATAAGGAATCCATCTGTTTATCAATTACTGTACATGTACACATACCAGTACATGTACATGTACATTGATCGCTGTGCAATACAGCCAAACTCTTGACCCTTTGGGACTGAATATAAGCTGAGTCTAAATATCAAATGAAATGGAATTCAGATCCACTTAATCTACGGTACATGCATTTATACTACCAGTATAATATTATGTTCATACAATACACGTACAAATGAATGTACCTAAATCTTCCTTGAATAACACGTACAAATGAATGTACCTAAATCTTCCTTGAATAATACTGCTTCCAGATCACACTTTTCTAGTCTGCAGCCATAAAATCACAAACTCTACTACTGACAGTCAATAAATCCCAGGACATGTACATGTACATCTCAATGACAATAATTCAATCCATTAAGCCCCATCCCACTGTTTTCTGACCAATCAACAGCCGTGATTTACATGTGTCTGACATATGTGCACTAAAGTCCAACATAATGTGCATGCATGTGTCTGAACCCAAGAATACATGTACCTTACATTAGTGAAACCTACATTTGTATTTAACCAAAATGACACAGCTTTGGGGCTTTTACACAACCCATAATGCTCGTCGTGATATTGCCCGATGAGAAAGTGTAAAATGACAATCTGTCGCCATGTTATGTCTCACCAATTTTCAAACAAGGTTTGCCCCACATCACTAAAAGAAATGCCAGATTTCAAAGATTAAAAAATTCCTTTAATCTGTCACATGATTTCACTTATCTTTAAAATGCCTTAAAGCTGATGTGATGTAATATCCTTTCCATGGAACTACATGTATTTATTGGAAAAGGCAAACAGAGATTGTGCATGTCCATGTACATGCAAACTTTGACAGTGTTTGATTCTGAAGAACTGACAGTATTAACATTTGAGTAAATGTAACAAAACTGCAACTCAAAACCGAACAAAAATCATGGCGCATTAGAATGATGTCACAAGCACATTTAGCACATACACAGTACCTGGCTCATGGGGAACAGGAGCTGGTCTTGCCTTGCATACACACTTAAAAAAAGTGTATTAATGATAATGTAGAGGTGGCTTTACATACTGAAGTTAATGCTGTTCACATAATTATAAATTCAGTAGTAGACTGTACTAAAGTTTGTACTAAGAAAATTTTGAATGTTAATACAGGATATCTACAAAATCACACAACACAACTGAATAGCATTATCAAGACACTATGTGAAATCAACCAAATATACCAGTACATCATACTGTTCACAAACGTACATGTACAAAGTTTCATCTTAAAAATAGTTCTTTAAATACTTGATAAACAGAAATGTTATTTCATTGGTTGATGAGAGACAGCGGTACTAATATCACATTGACACCATTGTTCAAAATGTAACTTCCATCTTTAGTCTTTATCCCTACTAGTTTACTTCAAGGTTAAGAGATATCTAAAGCTTAAGGCAGAACAAAGACAGAAGGGGCAGATAATCCAGACACAAAAGCATTTCAATGGGCTCGGATGAGGAAGTCATTTTGAATATCTACAGCACACTGATCAGTGAAGAAGAATCACAACTCCAAAGCTTAGTCCTCAAATCCTGGTGGCTCAGCAATTGTTCCTTGGCAAGTAGTCGCTTTCAAACCACTTGTTTTTCTACTGCACCCCTTCACTACACGTAAGCACATTTATCTTCCTTGTTGGCTGCCTCTGTTTCACAACATTTTAGCAAAAGATTGCACGTGATTACTAAATGTAGTCATAGTACAATGTAATTCAAAATGTGTTTACATTTTTGTAATAAAATTAAACTTGTTTCAACATATTGAACAGTTGTGGAATTGAGAATTTAGTAGTTCAGTTAATATTGACTTGAAGACTGAAAATGGTTATAGAACTGTTATGGTGCATGCATGTTAAGGCACCAAAATATACAGGTCGGCAAGTACATGTTCCTATCTATCAGCCATGAGCAGAAGCACCGCATCATCGGTAGAAAAAGCCATAGTGGTCAGGAGTGTTCATTTTATTGGTGGAGATGCGAGCATAATAGAGTGCATATTATAGTCGTTCATGAACCAGCGAAGTTCAGTTCTGACCAAGGGAATCTCTGTTGTTAAGAAAATTGCACCCTCTCTTGGTCAAGCTCAAGGCTCATACATGGAGGTTAACTATCTTCTACAATGAACAAACTAGGCATAAGTAACACTTGATGACATGACAGAAACTATGCTGACTGAAGAGCAGCTTTGCAATGTGTACAATTCATTCTGCTTCTTAGGACAAAGCTGTTGGTTATTCTTAATTCTACATACATGTACACAAGTACAGTGTACATATATGACATACATGTACATGTGTCTGTGAACCACCCTGACACTCAGTAAGATATCAAATGTTTGCAAATGAAGATACTGAATTCATGTCCTTCAGTACATGTGTGTTGGTATCCCTCAAGGTATCTTCTATTACAAAATAGAAGAATCATGACCAAAAATGCAGAAGTGCAAACTTCCTTCAATAAATGACATACGAATGTAAACATTTCAAGTAGCGACATCAATCAACTCTGAATCATGTACATATGCATGACAGTTCAACATCAAAATTTTGCACAATGCATACTGATGTGTTTGACCCTAACCCCAACCCTTTTTTCCTGTTTCAGTAAGACCATAATGGCATGCTTTGGGAGTCAATGAGCTAATATGCTAATTGCTAATGGCAATATCCATTTTTACAATATTGTCATGTTAGCTAAAAGTAGCATTGCCAATTTCATGATTATTACTACTTTGAAGCAAACATTCGGCTGCCCTACACTAGCTGAGCTTAACCTCTACCATGTGTACATGTACATGTATGTCTTATTAAGCCACTACTGCACCATAGGCATTGAGGGGAAATCAGCACACCGGTAGTTCTTACTTGTAGTACTTCTGGGGTGCTTAATGTCTAATGTCTTTTGGAGAGTGCTTTTGCAGATTACTGTAGATTAGAAAAAGTTAATACCGGTAGAATTTCACTTTAAATTACAATTAAGCTGGCAAATTTCATTGAGTTGTACAGCTGCAACCAAGTTTTTTGCTGGTATCAATATCTACCATGGTGATGAATCTCCAGAAAAATACCTCAATATTGAATGTTACTGTCCCTCAACACAACTCCAACCTCCAATGTGGCTCAGTGCAGCAGAACTAACAGGATTCAATATTAGAAAATCAAATTAAGACCCAAGTATCCAGACATGTACGGTACCTTTACATTTCCTTTGCCATGGAATTTCCCACAATCAAAAACTGGCTTGCCTGCCTGATCAAGAGCTGTTAACATTGATAGATGCTCTATATTTGTGATAACTTTGATAAGATGTCATTTTTTCAGTTCCAAAGTTAGTCTCAGCTCAAGACTGGTTTGGATTATATCCCCCTGAATACTTGCAGTGACACTTGACTTGTCAAACTAAATTCTATCACAAATAGAGCACTTTTGTACTGTCAAGAACCAAACCAAAATCAGTCTGGGTGGATCTGGTTGGCCTAGTCAAGAAATTTGGAGCTTAAATGTATCTTATGCATGAGAATCAAGCACACACAAGTTGAATCATGACATGGCATGGCGCATGTGCATGTATGTGCATGCACTGAACAATATGCACATTATTATTCCATCTGCATCAAGCACTTGATGTATACATTTCTTAACCAGCCCTGGCAGATTCTTGATAGCATTCTCTATTGCCAGTATGGCTTAGTTACATGGGCCATCTGTCTCAGTGTGCATTAAGGGCAATAGGGCATAATTCCAATCTAGTCTCAGGACAAGACACATCATCATCAACGGGCTTACCAAAGTGCACGAAAAACAGCAAAAACTGATATCACAAGAAATAATTTCTTGATGTTCTTCAAGTGATGACAACCACACATTAAAGTTTGATCATTGCAATCATCACTGAAACAATGAATGGATGTCTCAAAAACATAATTACTAATACTTACGCTTTAGAAAATGTCACAATTTTCACACAAACTTAACATACATGTACTATGCTTCTACCCTGTTAACATGGGCATCACCAACATTTTTTCCGGGGGGGGGATTTTTCCGGGTAAGGGGGAAGGGGCTATT